GAAGGCGTTTGAATTCGATTTGTGCTTAAATCATGCAAGATCAACATCCTAACAACAATCCCCTTATAATTTTCTTAGATTGGTATACTTCTCATTACTAATCCCCTAAATGTGTTTTTACCCCACCCCTAAACAATTCATACCTGAGAGACATCATTTTTGTCAATCCTCAAAAACACCCTTAAATTTTTGCTTAGATACAAATTCGTTTTTATCTTAGGACAGTTACAACACTCTTAAATTACTAACATCCAACATATTCCTATTCATTGAGTTACGTTAAAAGCTCATTAAGATTGGATCCTCCAACTTGTCCTTTAGCGTCAGAAACAAATCCTATGAAACTTTTAAAGTATCCTTGCATTGTCCACGGAATATTCTAGCATATATCATACTCAAGATCACAACAATACTTTCATACATCAACTTACTTTATATACTACACTAATAACATTGCTAACATCCAACGCCAACTCGGTCACCCTCACTTTTAGTTTAGTTACCTCTTTATTATATGATAGTTTCAAAGCTTTTGATGTACCATGAACTTCTAACTCAGTTGATCATCATTCCCTTCATAATATCACCATACTAATATACGATGTGATTCTTTGACCTTAAACATCCAAATATCTTTCAATACTTCATAAAAAATGCATATGTTTTTCAGGCATACGACGACATTAACAATATTTCATTTAACATCAATAACTTTAATTAGCATCAATTATCCAGGTTTTAACCATAAGAAGGCATTTGAATTCAATTTGTGCTTAAATCATGCAAGATCAACATCCTAACACAATCACCCTTATAATTTTCTTCGATTGATATAGTTCTCATACCTAATCCCCTTAATGTATTTTAYCCCGTCCYAAWCGATTYAGACCTGAGAGACACGACTACCCTAGTCGTTTCTTATATTCAACACATGGAAATCATTTTTGTCAATCCTCAAAAGTTAAATATTTAATAAAAAGAACTCCCAATTACCCTTAAATATTTGCTCAGATACAAATTCGTTTTATCTTAGGACAATTACTAAAATCATAGATTACCAATATCCAACCTATTCCTATTCATTGATTTAGGTTAAAGCCCATTAAGATTGGATCCTCCAACTTGTCCTTTAGCATCAGAAACAAATCCTATGAAAATTTAGAGTACCCTTGCATAATCCATAGAATATTCTAGCAGATATCGTACCCAATATCACAACAATACTTTCATACATCAACTTCCTATATATACTACACTAATAACATTGCTAACATCCAACTCCAACTCATAATGCAATTGATTTCCCTTAATTCATAAGGCATTTGATCTGCCATGAACCTCTACCTGAAAGAGGTGGTCATTGCATCTTTTGCATCAGTAATATCAAATACACATACACATTTGTATGTCTTCTCTTAATGTACATAGCATGCCTTAAACATCTTCTATTTACTTCATTTCACTTCTACTGCTGCTGCTTACTAGTTTGAATTTGTTTGTTTTGGTAGAAGTCTCCAACACAATAGATTTGATCCCAACATCCCAATCATCCTTGATTCTATACCTTCAAATTATAGGCCAGTTTTTTTATATCTGCAATAGCCCAAGCACAATAAAATCTCCAAAATTTCACTAATTATGAATGTTTAATTTACCAGCTATCTTTGATTATCCAACCAACAATCTCCTCTATATCCTGTTTTTTCATTCAAGCTCAAGTTTTCTTACCTGTTCTTCTCTAAAACATTGAGATTGTCCCAGAAAAATCGTTAAAATCCTTATTATTTCCCATATGAAAGCCGTTTTAGTCAATCGTTATAGTAATAAATCATACATTAATAAATTACTCACAATCATCCTTCAATTAGACTTTAGATCCAGACTTTTGTAATCAGATACTATATTCATGACGATTCTAACATCCAACATGGCAACATATACTTATTAATGCCATTTATTTCTCTTTTAACTTCATCAGGAACGAGGATCTTACTAAGAAAAATTTGCAGTATCCTTAATTGCTCACATATCGCTGATCACCCTCTTTATATATACAACCTCCAAGTTATATAGGACTTTTATGTGGATAACCGGTTACCTAATTACAGAAACAAGACATGAACGCTTGTATGTGACAATCGGCACTTGCAATCGTAAATATGTTTATTTACAAATATCATTATTTATTGGCATTAAGAAGTTATGGATACTACTGAAATTAATTACCATTAGGTGAATCAAAATAAATAACTGTACATGGGATTTACTAAAGAAGTTATGATTTATTATGAAAGAAGTGTAATAAGCCACCAAACCTGTAAGTCAAATACACTTGCTTCGAAAGAATTAAACTATGTGACAATCTGCATTGCTGCATGTTGGACAAATAAGATGTGATTAGAGTCAAGGAAATCAACATATATATACATATAAAGTAACAACCAACTAAAGTCTTAAATCAATGATTTTGTTACCTATAAAGAACCCGATCCTCTTAGAGCCTGTTTCATACGAAAAATTGAAGAAACAAAAAACATTAATCTTATGATGATCGATCAAGAACAGAAAAAAAAATCACAAAACATGGAAAACATTAAATTGATGATTACCGTGAGAACAAAAATCGATACAGAAACAGCCCAATGCCCGTTCCATACGGAAAATTGAAGCAAAATAAACATCAAGAACCCAGAAGATGGAAAGCATGAAATTGATGATTATCTTGAGAACAAAAAAAAAGAACAAGAAAAGAAGAAGGAGCAGATATTAAGGGAGAGAAGTAATGGCGTAAGCGAGAGATGGTGTTGGAGTTGTGGGAGAAGGGAAAGATGATGATTATGTATACACCGTATCCTCCTTTTGACCGTTGAAAATCTATAAGATTCAGAAGGGGCATAAATTGGGTTGAATGCCTCGGGAATTCTAATTGATGTAAGTGCATCAAATGTTAATGTGAAATAATAATATATTTTATTATTACGACCTGAGATCATATGAGATCAATGGTTTTTCGTGAGACCCGTAAGATCAATTTTTAACTTTTGAATTAGATTTATAATCTGAAAATCTAAACATTCAAAAACGCCACGAGATTTCTCAATAATCACAAAATTGACATTGTGCAATTTAGACCGTTAGATCATTAACTTATGAAGTTAATCAATGAACATAAATTGGTCTTACAGGTCTCACGAAAAACCTTTGGTCTCACGTGAACCCATATATATATATATATATATATA